GGAGTCTGGAGATGGGGATCAGAGAGTGTGAGAATGATAATGATCAGGTTTCCAGTCACACTTAGCATGTATGTGATAAGAAGAAATGTAAACAGTACAACCTGCCACTGTGGGTCATCTGTCAATCCCAGTAGAATAAACTCTGTTACTGCTGTGTGATTTCTCATCTTTTCCTTCTTTATTGTGGCATTTTCCCCCTGCCTGTAACTGCAAAATAAAAATCACAAAGTCATGACACCAATTAAGAAAGCTAAAACAAACAAGGAAAATAAAACATTTGTTTCTTTGAAACAAAAATGAATATTTTTGAAATGTTATTTTTACCTTCTATAATTCATTATTTCTATACTTCTTTTAAGTATGTTTCACTACATTTTAATTTGTTTCTGCCTTCTGAATATTTCAATGTATTATCTGAGAAGAATTTTTTGTTAAAGATTAAAACTTCAGAGGTTAAAATCTTTTCAGATTATAAAAATCTGAGAGTGAACTTCAACATACATGAATACACTTTGAAACTTTTGGTTTGCTCTCTTTTTTATTTTTCTGCTCTGAATAAAGATATTATTTTTCTTCTCCCATTCAGACTTTCACAAGCTACTAAAATAAATCAATCATACATCTCACAGTAATGAGTCTAGGGTAATTATCTACAGAGACATATACTAGTTAGATATACTTTCCACTTTGATTCCAATATTTGGAATTGGGCATTATAGTTTTATTTCAGATCATGCTTTAATGGTCTCTTTTAAGTTGGACATGTACTAATCGTGCATGCTTACAAATCATGAATCTACTCACTGATATCATAAATTATGCTTCTTTCTATTTAACTATTGTAATTTTATTAGAAATTCTATTTCCAGACTAATGTAACACTTCTTCCACAATATTGAGTATAATTTCTTGAGTATTGTTAATGTAATAGGTTAATATTAAAATAAATTTTAAATGCATTTGTTTTCATATTTTTATATATGTTAGGTATATTTGCTTTTAATATCATCCCTAATTTTTATAGGAGTTAGTAATTTTCCAGTTTACATTTGAAGTAATTTCCATAAATATCTTTAGTGTTCCAGTATCTCAAATCAATTTTAAAATACTTAAATATGCAGACATATACCCTGAGTCTATAATGTCTTCTTTATTTCCTAAATTCTTTTTAGGTCAGAATTCTATTATAAAATAATGTTTTATTTGTTAGCCAATTAATTCATTTTATTTGAGTAAATTGACTGATATATGTTTTTTTTATTTATAAAATTTCTAGCAGGATTGTGTTCCCATTTCCCATGATTTCTTCTCTTTATACTCATTAGATATGCAACTTTTGGTCTTTAGCTTTGTATCATCAAAGCTTACATTCACCATCTACAAAATTCATTTTTGTATAAGTGAAGCAAATCAGGTCAGAGCTAAAATTTGCCAAGTAAAATTTTTTGAATCTTATAATGACATGGCTTCCAAAATTGTTGCATAATATTACAAATGACTTTGGTTCTAGGCAAGAAAACATACATAAATGGAGTTCCTTCAATTGTAATATTTCCCTGTTATCATATACAAATTGTTGCCTGATATTATTGAATGTAGTAATTTTCAAATTTTCATTTGTATTTCATAATAACTGTGTGGCTTTATTCTATTTATATGGAATATCTTGTATACTTTATATTATTTTAATATACCATAGATATAGACTAGTGAAAGGACAACATATTTATTAAAACAATCAGAAACATACTTACTTGTATGGCAAAAATGACTGATTTAGTTGTCTTTAACGACCCATTTAATGCCCTAGGATTTAAGAAGTCTTTGCAAACTGCTCTGTTCCTGCCATCTTACTTTTGTAGATGAATACCCAAAATATTTATAATTAAGAAAATTCCAAGACTTCCGTTACAATGCCAACATAAAGACCCATTTCTACATACAACTCACATTCTCCAACATACTTTGATCCTGAGAAATTGTAGCCACATCATGAAGTAATATCTTACTCTTGAAATAAGTTAAAATTGAAATGAAATCTATTCCAAGCTTAATGGTCAACATGATTTTCAAAGCAAAAGTAATGTTTTT